GGTGAGAGAGTGAGTGAGTGAGAGAGAGATAGGAGGTGGTTCTGGGTGTGACAAGGGCTGTTCGGAGAGACCAGCAATTGGCTTTCACGGAGTGACTGGCACAAGATAGCAGCCTCCTCGACGACCTCGACACAGCACATCTCCAGCGGCCGACAACACATAAAGGACAGCTCTCCCCGGTGTCCTTCTCCGCTCTGCAGTGAGGAATACAGACATCAGCGCAGAGAGACGGAGAGAGAGGGAGAGAGGAGAGAGAGAGAGAGAGGGAGAGCAGCACCAACACAGGTAAAATCACTGCAGGATTGATGCAACCTTCAAGCGGTGTTCAAACTCATTACTGGAGCGATCGATTGGGCTGCGGGAGATGGCTCAGCATTTCTCTCTCGCAAAAGTATTTCTTTTTCCGGGTTGATTCGGTCTGTGCGCTTGTTGTAGGAATTTTGTGCAGGACGTTTTGAAACATATTTCTATCACGCGAACGCAGACACAGACAGACAGAGACAGACAGAGAGAGAGAGAGAGAGAGAGGGACAGGGATTTCGCTTGTCAATTGACATGAATCTCAAACAACTAGTCTTGTGCCCCACGTTAATTGAAAGATTGTTTGTGCAAGTTCGTTTCAGCCGAAGGCATTCGAGTGTAACATTAATCGCAACGTATTTCACAACTAAACATCACCTTGGGACGTCCTCCCGACGTGAAAGGCGCTGTACAAATGTAAATTCAAATGCGATGCAAAACTATTTGAAACATTGCTACTTAAAAGGGTGTCACTCACTGAATGAATTAGTCGCACCTGTAAGAAACCTTACTTTATTTTATTTGAATAACAATAATCCTTGCATTTGATACGACCCCTTATCACGTCCTCGAGACGTCTCACACAGGATACGTTGCAAAGTGAATTGACTGTGTATTTTGTGAGAGAAATAATAATAATAATAATAATTATAAAGATATATATAAGAAAGATTTATCGCTAAAGGCATTTGGGGTCCTAAGGAAAATCGCATACCCAGCTCCGGAAAGTTGATAGAGGGCGGACGGGCGGATGGGAAGGAGAAATCAATGGGTTTGTTTCTGATCTGAAATGTTTTCCTTTTTGTGGAGGAGAGGATTAAGCCTGGGGAGGGGGGAAGGGGAGGGGGGAAGGGGAGGGGGGAAGGGGAGGGGGGAAGGGGGGGGGAAGGTAAGACGGGGGGAGGATTTGTTGTAATATTAAAACAAGAGAAAGTAATCTTTAGGAATGATTAGGAATGAGCCGCCGCCGTTCCAGTACACAGCGATTGTCTGAATCCTGAATTAAATTGGTAAAACCCTTTCCTTATCTATTTGTACATTAAAACAAATGTGTTCATTGAGACACAAATATGGTAATGTAAAGCACTGCATCCTCTTCTGTAACTGTGTGGGATCAGGATTATCTCCCCAGGGACATGTACATATTCCGATTGGATATTTAATTCAAAAGGACGGTTCTCTGATTAATATGTATCTTTTTTTTCGAAATTATTATTAAATAAAGCCCAGTGTTGACCTAATTGCAAAGTTTCATAACAATAATAATCCTTGCACTTGATGTGGTGCCTCATCACGTCTTCGAGACGTCTCAAAGCGCTTCACAGGATACACTGTGAGGTTGAGTGACTATGTGTTTTGTGGGCGAAACGCGGTGGCCAATTGCGCACAGCGACGTCCCACAAAAACAGTCCTGGAGTGAGTGAGTGAGTGAGTGAGTGACCAAATTATTATTTTCGTCAGTTGACGTTTTCAGAGAAGGGGAGTGGGGAAGTTTACAAATTATATTTAATTTACTTGTGATTTCTGAAGGTTATTTCTTTAAATAAGGGGAATTCTATCTGATTGCACGGCTGATACTGACCAGCAGTCTGTGGTGTGGTGTGAGTGTGTGTGTAGGTGTGTGTGAGTAGGTGTGTATAAGTGTGTGTAGGTATGTATGTAGGTGTGAGTGTAGGTGTGTGTGTAGGTGTGTGTGAGTGTGTAGTTGTGTGTGTGAGTAGGTGTGTGTGAGTAGGTGTGTATAAGTGTGAGTAGGTGTGTATAAGTGTGTGTAGGTGTGTATGTAGGTGTGTGAGTGTAGGTGTGTGTGAGTGTGTAGTTGTGTGTGTGAGTAGGTGTGTATAAGTGTGTAGGTGTGTGTGATTATAGGTGTGCGCAGGTGTGTGTGTGCACGCATGAGTGCGTGTGCAAGACGTCTCTTTTAAGATCCGACTGAATTTGAGGTAGATTTTACCGCCCAGAACTTTCAGGGCCCGAACTCGGGCAGAGTATAGCTGTAGGTGGGAATCAGGTTATTTCGAAGCGGAAAACTAAACCGCGGGAAAAAAACAGAGAGACAGAACAGATCCGTAAATAAGATACCGGATTTGTTTTGCCGATCTCAGGACACAGTGACATTTCAGCCCATTAACGTAAGTAACGCAGCTCAGATAACCCGATGATTACAGTGTCAGACAGTTATAAGCCGGGAACCGTGTATCCCAATTCACTGACATTAAAAAATAGGGTCGAAAACCTTGTGAATTTGGTTTAACCGTTTAATAACAATCCTCACATTTGACACAGCGCCTTCGAGACGTCTCAAAGCGCTTCACGGGATAATACTGCAACGTGGAGTGTCTGCGTGTTTTCTGGATGAAACGGTCAGGAGGACTTCCCAAAGCACTTCACAGGATGCACCGTAAAAGTGGAGTGACTGTGTGTTTTGTTGGGGTGGATCGGGCCGCCGATTTGCGCGCAGCGACGCCCCCACAAACAGCCGGCCACAGGTTATGCAAGGATTATTATTATTATTAATAATCAGAATAATAGATTAATAATAATCCTTGCAATTGGATTACAATCACAATTACAATCACGTCGTTCAGACGTCTCAAAGCGCTTCACAGAATTATTATTATTTGCGGCGTCTCGGAGACACAATCAGGCGCTGGATCAAATGCGAGGATAATTATTATTAGGATCGGTTCGAATCCATTTTGCAGGTGTTTCTAATGTCACAGGCGATGGACCGAATGCCAGGATTATTATAAATCGTTAACCATTAGTTAGGGGCAGAGGTGATGGACCTAAAAGGGCTCAGATCTACGTCACTGAAGCTCTCGACGGGATTACGGATGTAATTATTGGTTGTTATCCTCGCAACAGCCCAGATCAGCGGGAGGCTGAGCACAGCAGGAACAGGTGGTGGGACAGACGCAAACACGGGGTTGTTTTAAGTGATTTAGAGCACCAAGTTGGAGATTGGACGTGGATTGCGTTGAAAAGCTCCCACCGTTCAAAAAAAATGAGTCATTCTCAGAATTCCCCCAAATTCCCCCAGTTTCAGCTCACGGCCTCCTTCGTTCGATGGGGTTGGTCACTCAATCCGCCACGGCTCGTTTCGCGCCCCCTCCCCCCCCCCCCAAAAACACACGCTCACTACACTACACTTTGCAGCATATTCTGCGAAGCGCTTTGGGACGTCTGGACGACCTGAGCTGGGCCCAACTGGCTGCCGTGTTTCGCCCACCCACCAAACGCACAGTCACTACACTTGTACAGTAATATTCCACGAAGCCCTTTCGAGACGTCTCGGCGACGTGATAAGGGGCTGCATCAAATGCGAGGATGATTATTATTATTATTATTATTTATTGTCTCATCCTATTCAAAATGGGGACAGGTGTTGGTGTGGGGGTTTGAACCCACAACCTTCTGACTCGGAGGCGAGAGAGAGAGAGAGAGAGAGAGACTTTATTTATTCTTGCCGGGGCAGAATCATGTGTCAGAATTGATGTGTTTATTTCCAATTTCAAAAATAGCTTCGCTGCTTCCTTGCAGCGCAGTTACAGTAAAGCATCTCACAGCTAATCTCATCTCTCGTAAAAAAAAACAACACACACACACAACAACGTCAACTCGTCTCCGGAGAGCAGAAATCCTCCTCCGTTTCTAGAGGCTTCGGAAGTGGAAACATTTTTAAGCCCTGACCCGGGATAAACACCCGTTACAGGCATCATACCTGGGGGTGTATAACCCCAGCTCTTTCCGCATCACGGTTATTCTTGTCTCTCTCTCTCTCTCTCTCTCTCTCGCAGTAATTGTTATTTTTTCCTCGGATCTCAATACAATGCAACTCCCACCCAACCATTGCACCAGCCTGGCTCAGCGGTAGCGCTCTCTCTCTCTCTCTCTCTCTCTCGCGCGTGCGCGGCTCTGAGTCGGAAGGTTGACGTCTCGAAGGCGCGATAAGGCCCTGTGTCAAACGCAGGGATTATTATTATTTAGGAGAAACTAAATCGCGTCTGAACAGAGGTCGGGTAGGATACGTGGATGATCTCTTGCGCTTGAGGGACAAAAATAACCTAAGGCTCTTCAACCATGAGATGCATCGTGTCACAAGGGATCGCATTGAGGTATGGTAGATGCTAAGGAGATGGAGCGAGTAAATCAACACTGTAGATGCACTAAAAGCAGCAGGACATGAAGTAGGGCTTGGGGTTTCGAGCTGCGAAGGGCAATATTAGAAGCAAAGTATTTTGTTACACAGAGAGAGGAATCGACAGCCAGTACAGGTTGGCAGGAAGGATGATGAGGTCAGGATGTTAGGATCATTTTTATGCACAGCTCAATACTGTCAGGTGCTAAAGGACCTTTATCCAAACTTCTCTTCTGATCTTGTGACAATCTCTCGAGGTGAAATGCGCTGTGTAAATGCAATTTCTCAGGCGGATCAAGGGCAAAACCTTGGGTTTCCTCACTCCGTACACAAAAATCATTTGGTCGCTCAATCCACGACAGTTTGTGGGGACGCTGCTGTGCGCAATTGGCAGCCGCGTTTCGCCCGCAAAATACACAGTCACTACGCTTTACGGTTGTATCCTGTGAAGTGCTTTGAGACATCTCGAAGATGTGATAAGGCGCTGTATCAAATGCCAGGATTATTATTGTTAGTTGTTGTTGTGGTTGTCCTTGGACACTGATTGGAAATGGCTAACATGTCTCCCCCCTCTATCTCTCTCCCTCTCTCCCAGGTCCAGGATGAGTGCCAAACATTTGTCAGTTGCTATCCTCGTGCTGTGTGGGGCTGTTAGTTACCTGGAGGCTTCCTGCCTGGCTGGGCGGCAGCACAAAGGCACCCCGGGTCCCGAAGCTGATCTCCACGAGTGCCCACTGTACTCAGACAGTAAGTGTTTACACCTCTACACAGTCACTCCACTTTACAGTGTACGCCGTGAAGCGCTTTGAGACATCTGATCGACGTGAGAAGGCGCTGTATCAAATGCCAGGGTTATGATCGTTGTGTTGCTCAATGATGAGGACATGTATCCTAGTAATGGACTGCCCTTCAATACAGCGGGTGTCTAGAGGGCTATTTTGAAGGGCTCTGGGTTTGCGTGTCGTTGCCTGACTGTGATAAGATGCTTATAGCTCATTTTATAGCCTCACATGTGATAAAATTCCTCCAAAACAAAATGTGGCCACTCAATTCCCGACTGTTTGTGGGACGGCTCTGTTATTACGCGGAGTCTGATGACAATAACAATAATAATAATAATCCCTCGATTTGATACAGGGCTTTGTATCAATTGGATACCACCTTGTTAAGACGTCTCAAAGCGCTTGACAGGATACACCTGCGCAGTGGATCGACTGTGTGTTTGTGGGAGAAACACGGGAGCCGGTTTGCACACAGCAGCGTCCCACAAACAGAAGTGAAACGAGTGACCAATTTTACCTGGAGGGGTTATGCCCTTAGGACGCTCCCTGCGTAAACTGGGGTGGGCTATATAAATGCAAGTTGTTGTGCTGATTGAACCCCAAAAGCCATCTGTCTACAGCATCTCGCAAAAGCATTAACCTTGGTTGATTACTTCTCCTAAAATACTAATCTTAATGCCGAAAGTAGTGACACCCTTTTGCCCGGAACTGACTTAATCCCTAAATACCCAGCAGTGCCTCAGACACTTATTAAAGGATAATCTCTCGACACTTCACTCCTGTACACAGCACTTTCAACGACTGGCATTTTGTCTGTATTTCGCCCACAAAATACACAGTCACCACACTTTACAGTGTATCCTGTGAGGCGCTTTGAGACGTCTCGAAGACGTGATAAGACGCTGTATCAAATGCCAGGATTATTATTATCATTATTAGCTGAACTGGATTTGCGGGAACCTATTCCGTGAATTAAAGGGCTGAGGGATTTAGGAAACCCTAATATTATTACTCTTAATATTAATAACAACAATATTCCGTGCATTTGATATAGTGAGAGAACCTGGGTTTGATTTCCGCCCCGGGGCCAAACCTTAGGCAAGTTTCCTCACCCAACACACACGCCTCTGTTATCCCAGCAGCAAGTAGCTTGTTAGTCGATTGGCGGATGGCTTTTTCGGGGGTAATAAACCCTTGAAAACGAAATGTGGTCACTCAGTTCACGACTGTTTGTGGGAGAGACGTTGCTGTGCACAATCGTCTGCCGCCTTTCGCCCACAACATATGCAGTCACTGCTCTGATATGTCCTGCGAAGCGCTGTGAGACGTCTCAACGACCTGATGAGGCGCTGTATCATAACGCAAGGATTATTATCATCGCTAATTGCGTATTGGCAAACCGATATTGCTAACCTGCCTTCTGCAAAGTCAATCGATACTGCGCTGATCTCAGAAACTGCCTGAGGTGCATTCTCCAGGTTTCTAACCTCTTGACGAGGGCTCGATCGAATTACATTCTTGTGACCTGGTGTCCTACAGGTGACCCCCGCATTTAAGGATGTTCTTTACTTCTGTCCTTTCACCCGACTAATCCTGCGTCTAACACAGCAAATCCCTCTGTGCGTTTCAGATGAGGATCAATTGGGCTCAGAAACGTGCCAGGTTACTTCTCCTTTCTCTGCTGCCCCCACTCTCTTCTCTCCCTGACTTTCTATTGCATAATAATAATAATAATAATAAATTGGTCGCTTCAATCCACGACTCCTCGTGGGACGTCTCTGTGCGCAATTGGCTGCCGCGTTTCGCCCATAATATTCTTTACGGTGTATCCTGTGAAGCGCTTTGAGATGACTGGAAGATGTGTTAAGGCTCTGTATCAAATGCCAGTATTATTATTATTATTATTATTATTGCTAGGACATTGCTGTGCAAAAAGAAAAAGATTTCACCGGGGAATGATAACCTGGGAAGAGTTATCATTCCCCAGGGAGAGAGAGGGGGAGAGAAAGAGAGAGGAAAGAGAGAGAGGAGAGAGACCGGTCTTCCAGTAGGAAGAGATTTTTGACTGTATTTTGTTGATTTCAAGCTCGGTTTCCTGCATTCCTGCACGTATGGTTTGGTTTAAACCTTTCCCCGGCTAATCCATACTTAATACACTCCCACACACACCCTCAGCTCAGCAAAGCCCTGTTTACATGACTGTATGAGTTTAACGGTAAGTCATGTGTTGCAGGGATGGGATGGGGGGGGGATTTATCATAATAATAATAATAATAATCCTGGCATTTGATACAGCGCCTTATCACGTCTTCGGGACGTCTCCAAGCGCTTCGCAGGAGACGCTGTAAACTTCAATGACTGTATATTTTGTGGGCCATATATATTAACCATATGTTAATATATATTAATATATGTGTGTGTGTGTGTGTATGTGTGTGCGTGGAGTAAGGAAAGGCGGTTGCACTTTCAATTAAATCCAAATTAAATCAAACCCAAGGAATACTGTTATTCCGCTGTGTTGGACCATCCAGTAAATCGTATCAAGACGTTGCAGAAAAAAAAAACAACAGCCCTGTGAAGATCTATAGATGGTTCAAAGAGTCTGCCTTCTCCCTGAAGCCTGGTAACGCAGGTCACAGAACCAGGGAATGTTCGGGGAACACAGCCTGTCAGACGTAATTTAATTCCAAGCTGGTGAGGGCTCCTTGAGGCGTTGCAAAGCTGTGCGTGTTGGGGTGGGGGGGGAGTTGGTGGCTTTCGTAGACTCGTGGGTCACTCGCTCACAATTCCCCGTTAAACTGACCCCTCACGTCACGTAGGCCCTACACTTGTCGTACAGACAGTGGAGGGAAGAGAGATCCTCCATCTTTGGGAAGTGGGTGTTCGCTTCAAGTAGGTTCTCAATGCCTTTGAATTCCAACCGTTTCAGAAAATAATCATTAGTCGTTTTCCGGGGATAATAATGCCTTTTAAAAGAAATAATAATTTGGTCACTCAATCCACGCAGCTGTTTGTGGGATAGGAGTGTGACCGAAGGCCCGGTCGAAGATGAAGACCTTGAGACGGGCCTTGAAGGAGGTACGGGAGGTGGTGGGTGGGGTTTGGCGAGGCGAAGGGACTGTGGGATGGAGTTCCAAATGGTGGGGTGGGGACTGAAGGTCCGATCGCTGATGGTGGGGCGGTCAGGGACAGTGGGGGGGGGGGGGGGGGGGGGGGGGGGGGGGGGGGGGGGGGGGGGGGGGGGGGGGGGGGGGGGGGGGGGGGGGGGGGGACGAGGGGAGCCGGCTGGAACCTGACAGGTTGGTAATAAAGCAGTTCACCTTCTGAACCTGCTGATGGTGTTCTTCCCCCCAGATGCTTGCTGCAGGGCCGAGAGCCTGAAGGATGATCTGCCTAACTTGCCGGGAGCCAGGATCAATGATTTCTACTGGAACCGCTGTGGGCTGTTCAGCCCAAAGTGAGTGGGACGTGGTGGAGAGGAATGATAGTTGGGAGGAGAGTTGGAGAAAGTATTCGCACGGACATGAAACTTTCTATCAGCCAATCTTGATGCCTTCCTCCCCCGACAGAGTCAACCACAACTTACGTTCACACAGCGCGGGAGAGAGGAGGGGGAAAGAGGGGGAAAGGTGACCGTAGGCACCTAGGTCAAAGAGGCGAGACCTGAAGATGGGGAAGGAAGGGGGTGGGGTGGAGAGAGGGATGGAGGAAAGCTTCCAAGAGCATGAGAATTGGGGAGGGAGTGGAGGAGGACGGGCTCGGGGTGTGCCTCACAGGCTAATGGCGAAACTCCAGCCTCATCCTACGTTAATGGGAAACTTTCCTCTCCAGGTGTGAGCAGTTCATGAAACAGATGGCCTGCTTCTACCTGTGCTCCCCCGACACTGCCCTTTGGGTTCACTCCATCAACCCCACCAGCCTTCACAACGTCCCCCTCTGTCAGGGCTTCTGCGACCAGTGGTAAGTAGCTTCCCACCCACCCCACCAACTCCCCCGAATCCTGTCTGAAGACCTTTTTGGACCGTGCCTTCAGCCATTGTAGGGAAGACATCCCAAGGCGGGGAGGGGGAATGGGTGGTCTAATTTTCTGCTCAGCTGGCTCCATGCCCCCACCCCCACCACCCATCCCAATCCACCATCGGTGGTCAGACCTTCAGCCTCTCCGACCCAACCCTTCGGAATTCCATCCACATTCCCTTTGCCTCGCTCAATCCCTTGCCTCCTTCAGCGCATGTCTCAAGACCCTCCTCTTCGACCGTGTCTTCGGCCACCCTCCTACCCTCATCCTCCCTTAACCCAAACCCCCCCCCCTCCACCCCTCCGAGCTCGGGTCCAAATCCTTAACTGTCCAGAGCCTTGGGACGTCTTCCCGATGGGAGAGGTGCTGTGTCAATGTCATTGTGTGTGGTATTGTATAACATGGCTTCTCTGAGACAAACTCTCATTGTGCTTCCACAGGTACAGTGCGTGTGAGAGCGACTTGACCTGCACTAAGGACTGGCTCACTGAGTGGAAGTCTAACACCTCTGGAAGCACCTGTTCTGGCAAATGCACCCCCTTTGGCGAGGTAAGGAATGGGGTTATTGCAGTTGCAACCTCACTGTCAGTTCAAGGGGAGTCCTGTAGCTCAGTGGTTCGATTCCCGAGCGGGTCAGGTCAGGGCAAAACCTGAGGCAAGTTTCCTTACTTCACGCACACCTCCGTTTACCTGCAGTAAGTAGGATCCCGGTTGTTCTTCGATCAGCGAGGGTGAGAATTAATTCCTTCAAAAAACTCAAATAATAATAATTTGGTCACTCAATCCACGACTGTTTGTGGGACACTGCTGTGCGCAATTTGCGTTGCGCACCAGTCAGTTCACTCCACAGTACACTTTCTTTGACGCGCTTTGAGACGTCTTGAAGACGTGATAAGGCGCTATATCAAATGCAAGGATTATTATTATTATTAATTAATCAACGGCAGGAGTGGGTTAAACAATAGCAGGTGCTTTTCTATTTTCCGATCATGAATTCGAATGATTGATATTAATAACAATAATAGTCCTGGCATTTGATGCAGCGCCTTATCACGTCTTCGAGACTTCTCAAAGCGCTTCGCAGGATACGCTGTAAAGTGAATCGACTGTGGATTTTGTGGACCATAATATTAATCCTTCGCCAGAGCTCGCCCGGCCCTGGCTGTTGCCGGCTGATGATTCTGGGGCTGATTTGCCTGGAGTGCACTGCCATTCCCTGTGGAGAGTGGGAGAACAACAGACATAGATGCTCGTGACAAGCGTCACATCGATGTCGCTTGGTCTTTCACACCCTCGGGGGGGAAAGACCGCAATCGGTTGGAAACTCTCGGAGACTCTGCCGCTGGAGTGGGGAGCCTGTCGCAAAAATAAGCCCACGGACTTTGACGTGTCAGAGCGGCAGAGTGAAAATATTCTTTTCCTAAGGGGTGGAGGTGGGAGGGAGCGGTCGAACCATTTTTAAGACCAAGCGCCAGCATCAAAGATGGCCACCTCTCCCCTCTTACTCCTCCTCACCGCGAAGGCTCCGTGCCACCATCCAAGATGGCCTCCTCCCCATCCATGACCCAGTAACGTCTGAGCTGCATTTCGCTCACAAAACACACAGCCACGACTCTCAAAAGTGTATCCCGTGAAGCGCTGTGAGACGTCTCGCAGGTGTGATAAGGCGCTGTGTCAAACGCGAGGATTATTATTGTTATTAATGTCATTATTGTTGTCTCCCAAGGTGTACAAGGACGGTAAGGACCTGTGCGAGAGCATGTGGGGCGATTCCATCAAGGTCAGATCCTGCAACTGCCTGAACCTCAACGAGACGGACAAGGGGGTGATCGAGACCCTGAGGCGCGCGGACAGCCGGGAGGACAGCACCAAGAGGTGCCTCGAGACCGAGGCCCCCTGCAGAGCCAGACGCAGCTCGCTCCTCAGAAAGCTCAGGCGTTCCGTCCGCAAGCGCTCTATCTTCGTGGAGGAAATGGAGGGGAGCGGGAGCGGCTTTCAGAGCGACTGAGTAGCTCATTCCTACGCGCTGGGGTGTGTGTGTGTGTGTGTGTGCGTGTGTGTGCGCGTGTGTTATTTTATGAGATAGCCGAAGCCCTCGTTAACAAAATATACCTTTCGCTGCGCTCATACTGGTAAAAGTTATCGACAGTTAGCTTCCCCCCGTGTTCCCTCTCCCTCTCCAAAATGCGTCTCAGTTATTCTCCAGGCTGGCTTGAGCAACAACCCAATTCTTGCACGTCTCCGTCCCACCCTTTGGTGGGAACCCATCCCGTCAACGAGCGAGACAGAGTTGAGCCCACAAAACACACAGTCACTCCACTTTACAGTATATCCCGTGAAGCGCTTTGAGCGATGTCTGGATAAGGCGCTGAATCAAATGCAAGGTTTATTATTGTTGTTGTTGTTGTTGTGGGGGGGAGGAGGGGAAGGAAACAGAGTGATGGATGGACGGACGTAAAGGAAAGGAAGAACTTACCTTTCCTTCTCGCCCTTTTTTCCCCCGTTCGGTTTTCCCTACAAGCAATGGCAGGGACTGACATCGAAATTGTTCAGCCACCGCTTCGAAGTGAGTCGAAGGAAATGGGAGACAGAATTTCGCCCACAAAACACACAGTCAATTCGCTCTACGCTATATCCTGTGAAGCGCTTTGAGACGTCTCGAGGACGTGATAATTGATGCCAATTATTGCGTTGAAACCACCCCGTTTGGTCTCATCTAAATCGCGTCCAACCAGAAAGGGAACATTGTCCTTTGCTCTATGGATCCAGACCAAAATATACCAAATACAGTAGTTAAAGACCAAACAGAAAGCTTGGCTCTGCCTCAACTGCTCGCCAGCTGTCTGCGGCAGTGCTGTTGACAGTTACCAACACAAGGAAAAGACAACGTCAATATGGAAAGAGAGTGGGTGTTTTGTCTCAACCCAGTCAATGGCCTCCTTGGTGTAAATTGCTCCCAGTATGGGCTGCCCATCACCACACACAATGTTTGAGGACAAGACCATCTCTAGGTCAGTGATTAACACTATTGTGGGCCGACTGTTTAGCATAGTGGGTCGGATTATCTCCACCCTTTATTTATGCTGTCTCTCACCTCATGTGGAATTTTTTTTATTAAAAAGAAGGTAGTAATCAACAGAAGCATCGGTTGCTTTTTACTAACGGTCTGTTCCACGGACTGTTAAGAAAAAAATACTCTAGCCTGATATACTAGTGGGTTAACTTTTGTATTCAGTTTCTACAATCTCCACGTGAATACCTACTTACATAACCAGACAGGAATAGCAGTGAGTGTCACACGGTGGGTGTGTAAGAATTGCCTACAATTGCAATAATCATAGAAAAATCTTACAGCACAGAAGGAGGCCATGACGGCTCTTTGTAAGACCAACTCGTCCAAATACCATCGAATCAGCTTCCACCGGCCTTTCAGGCCGTGCGTTTCAGACCATACAACTCATAACAACGTCGAGACCTCTTTGTTATTTGAAATGACGTCTTCCCGTTGAGACGTCTCAAAGCGCTTCACGGGATAGAATAGATCGTAGAGCGGAGTGCGCTGAGTATTTTGTGAGCCAAACGGGGCAGCCAATTGCACACAGCAGTGCCCCACTCGGTGGTGGATTGGGAGATTGGATTTTTTTTAATTGATTTGGTCACTCAGTCCACGACTGTTTGTGGAGACGCCGCTGTGCGCAATTGGCTGCTGCGTTTCGCCCGCAAAATACACAGTCACTCCACTTTGCAATATATTCGGTGAAGCGCTTTGAGACGTCTCGAAGACGCGATGACGCGCTGCATCAAATGCAAGGATTATTATTATTATTTTTTTGAGATAATAATATGCACTGATATATATGATTCACAGCCGCACAACACCCCCATAGTCAGCAGGAAATTAACTTTTTGCAGAGTGAGAAAATAGGTCAGCGGCAGCCGAGGAGAGGAAATTAAACTCCTTGCCAGAGTTTTAACAATACGCGTCGAAATAGATGAATAATTGAGATAGTCGAACGTGGCGGTGAGAACGCGATCGGATTTGCAGTGGACTGATTTGTTCGGTGGAAGCCATTTACTACTTCTTGCTCTGCGCTGTTCTTACCTTCGGTCACGCGCTCCAAGAAGCTTTTTTTTATAGTCACTTTGTCTTGGTTCTAGAAAAGGGGAATAGCATCGCAGCTGTAGAGTCTTTGTCCTTTCTGCCAGAAACAGAAACCATTTAAGTGTTAAAATGGAAACGTGCTGTGGACTATTTGCCCAGACAGATACCCCCCACCCCCCCCCACTCCCCCACCCTCTCCCCAGCCATTAGTCGGTGAATTGCATATCTCTCCGCCCCCGCTTCGACCCCGGGGAGACTCATTGTCCTCAAGTTATCAGCCTCACCACCACCAAAAAGGCTGTGATTTATGTCTGGATCCATTCACATCCTCAAAACTGAGGTGGACAGATGTTTTGAGCTGTCAGCCATGATCAAGTCGAATGGCGGAACGGAACAGGCTCGAGGGGCTGAATGGCCTCCTTCGATGTTCCTTTGTTCCCAGAACCCCAAACGGTTGACCCGCTGGAACCCAACGAACCCCAGAAATGTCTCGTCTCATCCGAGGCTGCAGCGACCTTAACTGGAGGCCGTTTCGACCAACGCAACGTCTGGAGGTTGCAGCTGAGTGAAGTGGCTGCCATGATGGGAGACAATCCACCTCTAGTTCAACAACAGGAAGAACTCTGGTGATGGTGGGGAGGAGTAATAGGCAGCGCAGAGTGTACATCTACCCAGGTTTCCAACAACGACGTACAGGGTGTCCACAAGTCCCCCCCCCCCACCCCACCCGCCCACTGTACTGAGTATAATGAAAGAGTACTGTAATACAATTAATCATTATTCCTCCACGTGGTTCTACTTGTTGGTCAATGCACTGGAGGGGTGTGTGTGTGTGTGGGTGGAAGGGGGGGTTTGGGGGGGGGGGGGGGGGGTGACAGGTCTTTGTGGACACCTTGTATTATACTCTGCTTTGATTTTGTAAATGTACTTGTATGTAGCTGAGACAAGGTGTAGGTTTGCTCTGGGTTTGTCCCTGTGTGGCGTGTGGTATAGTTGTACGTCACTGTATAGTGCGCTTTCTCCCTCTTCCCTCTCTGTTCCTTATATATTTTCCGTAACCGTGCTCCGTGTAACCGATATTGTAAAATTCTGCACTTAAAACTGTCAGATTTACCAATAAAATGAGAAACATGGTGATAAAACGCAACTCTTTCTTGTGTCAAAGGGATTCTTTCGAGAATTATCTTGGCTTTTAACACTCCTAAACTCAACACGTTGTTTCGATCGTAAAAATAATAATAATAATCCTTGCATTTGATATAGCGCTTTTCACGTCGGGAGGACGTCCCAAAGCGCTTCACAGAACACACTGTAAAGTGAATTGACTGTGTATTTGTGGGCGAACGCGGCAGCCAATTGCGCACAGCAATGTCCCACAAACAGTCGTGGATTGAAAATGACCAATTTATTATTGTTTTGGGTTTTGGAGGGATTATTATTAGGTGTGTGGAGTAAGGAAACTTGCCCAAGGTTTCGCCCTCTGCCTGGAATTGAACTCAGGTCTCTCACTTGCAAAGCGAGTGCTCTAACCACTGAGCTACAGGACTCCACAAAAAAATAATCATCCTTGCATTTGATACAGCGCCTCATCACGTCGCTGAGGCGTCTCAAAGCGCTTTGCTGAATAGATTGTAAAGTGGTTTGACTTGCGTCCTTTTGTGGGTGAAACGCGGCAGCCAATTGCGCGCAGCAAATAAGGTTTCACACGACAGCTAAAATGTGTGTACAATACCTACATCACAGATTAATACAGCAAATGACATTTTCACGGCGCCTTTCACGTCGGGAGGACCTCCCAAAGGCGTTGGGACGGTTGGGGATTTGCACCCGAGCTCCTAGATATTAAATGAATCGCGCTGAGAAACGGACTGCGAATTTCTGGGTCACTCACTTGCAGTCGAGCACAGAGCTGTCCTCATGATGTTCACAAGGGATTAGTGCCTTCATTCCCCAGATTAGTTTTCAAATAAGATGACTTCCACCGGGGATTCAGTCAACACAGCCCCAGAGCACCGACTCCCTCAACACGAAGAAGACGAAGAGCAACAGAAAGCAGAGACGTTAATTGCTTTGCTCGGCTTCTTCTACAGGTGATCCCGATGATGGCTGAAGGCAGGTGGAGGGGAGACTTCTCCAGTTGGTCAGATCCTGTTCTGCATTGAACAGTTGAGGTGTCTGGAGCTGGAGCACAGGTGATGAGCTGTTCTCTGGCTGCCCACAGGCAACCCCATTGCCCCCCACCCCCCTTCCCCTCTTCCAGATCACTACTGAAGACCTTCCGCCTTGGCCGTGCTGTTGTTGCCTTTTTGTAGGGTTCGAAGCTCGTCAACCAAAGTTACATCCTTTCTTTTTATTGCATGTAATGGTTCAGATACCAATTCAATCAAATAAGTACATGTCCACAGCAATAGCCATTATTAAGCCCAATTTGTATGAAGAAAAATAAACCTGGCTGAAATCGAACTGGACAGCGTGTAATGAGGAACGAGTTGGGTTTCATTTCGTTTCGTTTAATGATTTTATAGAAAAGTTACAGGCGTTTGTATTAAAAAAAAAGCGATTTGCTGAAGGGAATATTTTCACATTCTTGAATGTTCTTGTCGTCCGCCCGGTTCTCAGTGACAGCGGCGACGACTGTCAAGCACTCCAAGTTACCAGGATGGTCCAACTGGCGGCCCACGGGCCACATCCGGCCCCCCCTCCCCACCGAAATGTTGTTCATGTGGCACGCAGATGTTTCTCAAATAGGGCATCCAGCCCCTCAGCAGCCAGAAGATTCAACACCCCCCTCACACCCCACCCCACCACGGAAAAGTGATCCGCCAATCGACTAACAAGTGGATTCCTACTTACTGCTCGGTAAGCAGAGGCGTGTGTTCCTCTCGCTTGTGAGGCGAGCGCTCTAACCACACACAACAAACCAATAGCAGCAGCAGGAGAGAGAGTTCAGGCACTCGCAAGCCCTGTGGAGTTGACAATCGTGTGCGGGAACGAAGAGAAGGGATGGAAATACTGCATTTTGTTTTAAAAAACAAAAAAGGCAGAAATCTCCCAACGTAAGCGACGAGAACGCAAATAAATAAGAGATGGAGAGCGATTAATATAGTTAAAAAAAGAGATGGATGCAGAGCTTGGAGTGTCTGCTAATAGACGCCATTGGCCAAATGGCACCTTTTTAAAAGCCGCAGTTCGCTGACTGAACTAACGGAGAACACGTGTGGTCCCAGACAGCCGCGTTGAAAGGAAAATAAAGCATCGTAAAAAGATAAAGCTGCTCTTTTCTAAGACGCAATGCTGCGAGGACTTACCACCCCCAGTCTGCTCCCTGGTTTAAACCTTTACCCGTTTGCGCCCAAGGTTTGCCATGTGTCGATCACGGGTAAACGACATTTCGTTACATAATGAATCTCTCTTGGTGATAAGACAGCCCTAACGTACAGTATAATAATAAGAGGAATCCTTGCATTTGATATGGCGCCTCATCACGACTTCGAGACGTCTCAAAGCGCTTCACGGGATAGACTGTAAAGTGTAGTGACTGTGTGTTTTGTGGGCGAAGCGTGGCAGCTGGTATAACAGGTGCTGAAGGTGTATTCATTCAGTGGGCAACTGCCAGGTGCTCTGATCACTGGAGGTAATACTGTACCGTGTGGCAGTAGGACATGCAATGCTGTGGGATGAAGAAATAAGTGGTTAGAGTAAAACTTGCAATGCCTGAGAGGGTAGTGGGAGCAGATTTAGTAATAACTTTAAAAAGAAAGGTTTGCAGGGCTATGGGGTAAGAGTGGGGGAGTGGGACTAGTTGGACAGTTCTTTCAAAGAGCCGGCACAGGCACGATGGGCCGAATGGCCTCCTTCTGTGCTGTAGGTTTCCATGATTCTATGATTCTCTAGCGTTCTGTAGCTCAGCACTGGCCTCGCAAGCGAGAGGACCTGGGTCCGGGCGGGCATGGTGCAACACAGGGCAAGTGTCCTCACTCCTCACTCTCGCCTGTTTACTTAGCAATAAGTAGGAGCTCGGTTGTCAGTCTATTGGCGGATCGTTTTTCCAGGTATAATAACGCCTTAAAAAGAAATGTTGGTCACTCGATCCACGACTGTTTGTGGGACGCTGCTGTGTGCAAATGGCCACCGCGTTTCGCCCACGAAACATACAGTCAATTCACTTTACAATATATTATCTGAAGCGCTTTGAGACGTTAAAAAAGGTGTGTATCAAAAGCAAGGATTATTTTTACTATTATCTATCTGAAGTGTGTCAGTTCAATGGTGAAGTGTTAATCAGACAGTAAACCTGTGCGATAGAGTTTGCCGTTTGCATTTACACGCACGGCTAGCTTAGTCTACTCACACTGTATAGAAGTACGAGGCTACTCATTTGGCTCAGTGAATGTGACTGAGTCAATTTGCTCTGGAGGAATCATCCCGTGTGAAAGAAACAATTAGTGCCTAATCTCAGCCCTCTGCAGGGCTTAAATTAAATTTTTTATTAATATTACAGTTTCATCAGTAAAGCATCTCGGAAAGCAGTAGAAATGTGCACTTGGAAATTCCCTTTCCTTCAGGCTAAACCAGTCACAACTGAAGACTGAGTGTGGGAGAGTAACTAATTCACTAAGTTTATTCAAGTCTACTTATTGTCATACCCAATCTAACCAGACCTAAGGGTAATGAGTGTTCAGGAGGACAATAAAAGGCAGGCGAGGCAGCCTGTCGCTTAACCAGAGTAGATATTTATTGCTACGGGGTTTAAAAAGCAGCTTCGAAAAATTTAACAGCAGTTCTGAAGTGATTGGGGTAAAACCGCTGACTTTAGGTGAAAGCATCGCTGAGTTTCCAGCACATTAAGACACCGGCTCGGCTTGGCGTTCCGCCGGTGACAGCCCAAACATCACATGCTTTGGCTCCTCCAACTCCTCCCTACCTCTCTGACCTGCTCTCTCCCCTCCACCTCCCGCTGCCTCCCCTCGGCCGGCTCTGGCCTCCTGCTTGTCCCTCCCTCGTGCCCTCAGCTCCACCGGCGGCCATGCTCTCAGCCATCCCGCCCCGAAGCTTTGGAACTCTCTCCCCCAATCCCTTCACGTCTGCAACCCCCCAACCACCACCCCCCCCCCCCCCCCACTTCTCAGTTGGGCCTCTTTAGCTAAGGAACATTGTGGGGTGCGGTGGGGAACTTTTAAGAAACAATATGTTTTTAAAAAGGTAGTGGGGGGGAGGGGGAGAAAATGAAAGTAAAAACACTTCACATTCATCAAACTCCAGGCTCTCTTCCTTCTAGCCCCGATGACACTCCCCACCCCCAACCGCCCCCCCCCCCCTCCGCGACACATTACTCACAGGGAACGTTTTATAGATTTGCGATTGAGACGAGCTTCCTCTCTGTGAAGTAGCGATGTGACTGAAGCTTTGGGTCCACGGTTTTCTTCTCGAAGAAGGACAGCACTGAGGGAGTGTCCTTTTTGTCCCCATCTTTACCGTCATCTTCCCTGCAAAGCAAGCGGGGGAAAATGCTTGGGAATTACCTGCTGACCCCGTATCAACCTGTCCGCTCCCTCCGCTCGGTGGGCTCCAGCCGGCTCCATGTCCTCCGCCCAGCCCGCCCCACCACCAGCAGTCGGGCCTTCAGGCTCTCTGACCCCCCACCCCTTTTGAAACTCCATCCCACAGTCCCTCCGCCTCGCTCCCTCCTAAACGTCTAAAACTCAACTGGCATCGACAGGTAAAAGAGTCATTGCTTTGTAGAATTCTGTTTGACGAAGAAACATTACTGTATCCCTCGATGCAGTAGTTCAGTGGTTAGAGCGCTCGCCTCGCAAACGAGAGGACTTGGGGTCGATTCCCAGCAGGTCAAGATGTTGGGCAAGTTTCCTTACTCCTCACACATGCCTCGGTTTACCGAGCAATAAATCGGAACCCGGTTATAAGTCGATTAGCGGATCGCTTTTCCGGGGGTAATAATCCCTTCAAAACATAAATATTAATACTAATAATTTGGTCGCTCAATCCACGACTGTTTGTGGGGCACTGCTGTGCTCAACTGGCTGTCGTGTTTCGCCCACAAATATACAGTCACTACACTTTACAGTGTGAGGCGCTCTGAGGACCTGATAAGATGCTGTATCAAAGGCAAGGATTATTATTGTTGAAGGGTTGAACTGAATCAGGTCTGGACTGCCGGACACCAAACACACACTGCAGAGAAACACAATGCCTGCACACGGAGTTATAAATACAAGAGGTGACAGGAGCTCTCTCTATCTCTCTTTGAATCTTCTCTGATGCCTTCTGGCTCCCAGCCTGAACACACCCATCTTAGGGTCGAGGCGTGGGTGGGTAGGGGGGGGGTTGGGGAAATAATAAAGCAAATCAATGTGGATTACTTAGCAAGAGCATCAGCTAGAGGGGATATTTAAAGTGGGCCTTCTTGGGAATTGTCTGGACAGCTCATCCATCTGCCTGTTGGCACGAGGCGAATACTGCTCACACGGCAGATTTCTCCTGATTATTTTTACTTTTATTATTTAAAGAAAGGAACATGGCTGAACTAACCTGTGTGCCAAACATATATTTCCCACATTGTCAGACCGTAACCCAGTTTAAGGGAGTAGAGAACCGCACCTTTTGACAGTTCATAACAATAATGATAATCCTTGCATTTGATACAGCGCCTTATCACATCGTCGAGACGTTCCAAAGCGTTTCACAGGGTACATACTAAAGTGTAATGACTGTGTACTTTGTGAGTGAAACAAAATCTAACCCCAACAGCAGCTAAAAGGCAATGTCAACTATGGTCCTATAGCGACAAAACCTTTACCTCTGCTCCACAGTCTATTTGCTGGATTGTAAATTATGGCAGTCATTACTGTGATTGAGGAATGATAGCAGAGTAGACAGAGACGGGAAAATCAGTCGATGTTGTGCAAACAGCAGAAATGTATTGTCTCGCAATCCCACTGTACAAGAAACAATATGCAGCAAACGCTAACCGATACATCAGGTCACGGCCATTACTCAAGCTCCGCGAAGATTTATAACCAGATTCAACTGCAGTTTGTAACTGACGCCAAGGGGTTGCTGGCATCAGGAGGGGAGAAGGGGGCAATTGAGCAATTTGAGCAAAGATTCAATGCAAAACACCGAGGCTACGAACTACATATAAAGCGTGGGCTACGCTTAAAATAAAAATGTATCGCCCACAAAAACTTCTGGAGCAAATCATTCCTCTGCAGCAGTTATCCTGTTCGTTATAATAATCCGTGCATTTTAATACCGCACCTTATATCAAATGCACGGATTATTATTATTTTAAAAAGGAATTCCTGCTGGTTTAAAGGAGATGTTGACCTGATCGGGGATTACGTACCAGTGTACAGGGACGGCCTTGCTGTCCAGTATAACCTGGGCCGTGCTCCAACTGAACCGTACAAACTGCGGATAGCCAAACACAGGGTCCACATTGCTGGACAGCCACTCCTTGGTCTTAGGGTCTGCAAAGAGAAAGCCACATGAGAAATAGATTCCTCACCAAACACAAGCTACCACTGCACTCACTGCTCCTCGCAGAAGTTAAGTAGGAACCCGGTTGTTAGTCGATTGGTGGATCGCTTTTCCGGGGCCAATAATCCCTCCAAATAAAAAAAATTTGGTCACAACAATCCACGACGCAATTGGCTGCCGTGTTTCGCCCGCAAAGTACAGTCACTACACTTTACAGTATATTCAGAGAAGGGCTTTCAGTCGTCTCAACGACGTGATAAGGCACTGTATAAGTAATCATAATCCTTGCATCTGATACAGCGCCTTATCATGTCTTTGAGACGTCTCAAAGCGCTTCAAAGAATATACTGTAAAGGTTAGTGCCTGCATATTTTGTGGGTGAAATGCTAATGAAAGGATTATTATTGTTCAAAGACGTACAACTTGTAGATTTTAGTTCAGAGCATGGTCTACCTTATCTCTAGCCTACCAGCAACCCTCCTTATCCTTACCGTTGGGATATCCTGAACCATAATCCACATTTACGTCCCCGAGATTTTCAATAAAAGTCCAGGATTTAACAGAACGATCTCTTGCAACCTGAAGCAGACAGAAACAGTTAGTAACAGAATGATGGTCACTTCAACAGAAGTGTGGGGGGGGGAGGGGAGGGGGGCGGCATTCACAACAAAACTTTCATTAAAAAACAATCCTTGCATTTGATACAGGGCCTTATCACGTCTTCAAGACGTCTCAGAGCGAATTGACTGTGTACTTTGTGAGCGAAACACGGCAGCCAATTGGCACACCAGTGTCCCACAGTCGTGGGTCGAGTGTAAAGTGTAGTGACTCTATTTTGTCGGTAAATGCAGCAGGCAATTTGCCCTTGGATATGTCCCACGGACAGACAGTTTCACCAGGAGCATTGCTGGTTAGAACACCAGCCTGCAGACAGGACCTCAGTTTAAATGTCTCCTCTAACACGTCAACTTCAACCTTTTAGTTTATTTTGGAATTTATTATAATAAAAATCCTTGCATTTGATATCACACCTTATCACATCGTTGAGACGTCTCAAAGCGCTTCACAGAGTATATTGTATAAGTGTAGTGACTGTATATTAGAATTATGTCCTTAAATATAATCATAAATACAATAATAAAATATAAATAATGTGAGTATCTCAATGCGAAGCTGACTTTAGGACAGTTTATTTAAGGGGCAGTTGATGGGAAGAGACATTTTATTACTTATATCCATCATATCATAGGAGGCCATTCAGCCCATCGCGCCTGTGCGAGCTCTTTGAAAGAGCTAACCCCAACTAGTCCCACTCCCCCACTCTTACCCCACCATAGCCCTGCACATTTAACCTTTTCAAGTAATAGTGATAATTCTTGCATTTGATATAGCGCCTTATAGCGCCTTTGAGACGTTTCAAAGCACTTCACTGTAATATTTTATATCCAATTCCCTTTTGAACAATTCCCAAGTTATTTTATTCACTAACAGTCTGAACTTGTCAATTTCCACACTTACTTTGGCACAGATACTGGCTGCACTGACAATGGGGAACAGAGAATCAGCTTTGGCTTTCACTGTGATCTCCAGCTCTGGGAAAAGCTCCTTCAGCTTTGCTTGGTACTTTTCAGCAGGTCCCACAGTGTCTACGTAAACCTAAGGGGAAGAGACTCCATGGATTAATATGTACTGGGTCCGAACCATAGAAGTATAAGACATTTAAAGAGGAGGCTATTCGACCCACCGTGTCCGTACCTGCCCTTGAGGAATAGAAAGATCCGATAAGGAACAGCAGTGCGCCAGTCAGTCATACACGGCAAGACGCTGCGTTTGTGACAACATGACATTTACATAGCGCCTCTCACATCAGGAGGACGTCCCAAGGCGCTGGACAGTCAGGGATCCACACCCGAGCTGGTGTTTGGGGCCAGGAGGGGGTGGAGGGTGGGGTGGAATAGTGACCGAAGGCACGGTGGTGGAGGAGGGTCTTGAAGGAGGCAAGGGAGGGACAAGAATTCTTGGAACATAGAGCAGCCAAAAAAACAACCTGAAACCCATCTCTCCCACTTACCTCTTTCAGTTGAACCCCACTGTCCAGCGCGTATTGGATTAACCCGATGGCGGTGTCATGAGACATCGTGTTCAGGTTATATTTGCTCCTGTTTGTGGGGTGGAGAAGTGAGAGTTAGCTTCTGTTTCAGATCAGACCACAAGAGTTAACAGAGGCTTTTCCAAGTACGTAATATATAATTATTCTTGCGTTTGACACAGCGCCTTACCAGGTCTTGTAGACGTCTCAAAGCGCTTCACAGAATACACTGTAAAGTGAATTGACTGTATATTTTGTGGGGAAAAATAGGCAGCAAATTGCACACAGCAGCGTTCCCTTCCCACAAACAGTCATGGATTGAGTGACCTTTTTTTTTAAAGGAATTATTAGCCCTGGAAAAGCGATCCGCCAATCAACTAACAACTGTGTTCCTACTTACTGTTGGGTAAACAGAGAGAGGGGAAGAGCAGAGGAGTGGGACGAGTTGGTAGCTCTTCCAAAGAGCCGGCACTCGCACGATGGGCCGAATGACCTCCTTCTGTGCTGTGAGATGTGCGCAATTGGCTGCCGCCTTTCACCCACAAAACAGTATATCCTGTGAAGCGCTTTGAGACGTCTCGAATATGTGATAAGGCGCTGTATCAAATACAAGGATTATTGTCAAGGATTATGATGATTCTATTCTGCCCCTCCAGAATGGGTGAATAATTTCGATCACGGTAATTGTCAGCCTCTCTGGGGTGGGGTGGGGTGGGGGGGGAAGATACACAAAGAGGCCCCTTTAACACAGGGACACATTCACAGTAAATTGATTACCCTTGCCTTGGATTGCTCAGTGTCTCTGTAAATAAGTGAAGTGCTGACAGCTACCTTTGCTGCATACCAGTTGATATCTCATTGGGGGAGAGGATCCGCAAGGCCCAGCCAACAAAATCATTTGCGTCATTCAGTTTCGTAAAGAGTTTCTCTCGCTCGTCCTCCGTTAGAGTCTTGGAATCTGGAAGGGAAATTGAACGGATTGAATAATAATAATAATAATCCTTGCATGTGATTCAGTGCCTTAACACATCATTAAGACGTCTCAAAGCGCTTCGGGGTATAACGTAAAGTGGATTCTGTGGGTGAAACCCGGCAGCCAATTGTGCACAGTATTGTCCCACAAAATGTCGTGGATTGAGTGACTAAATTTTAGGGGATTATTACCCTCGGAAAAGCGATCCGACATTCAGGTTCCTCCTTGCCCCACATTAACTTAAGTCATGTAAATTAGCGCACAGATAAAATTGACCCTTAAAAAGACCACGATAAACAAGGCAGAGATGTAACTGCCCATACCTTGGAGAACTTGGGAGAAAAAATAATAATAATTTGGTCACTCAATCCACGACTGTTTGTAGGAGGCTGCTGTGCGCAATTGGCTGCCGTGTTTCACTCACCCACAAAATATACAGTCACTCCACTTTACAGTATATTCTGTGAAGCGCTTTCAGACGTCCCAGTGCCGCGATAAGGCATCCTATCAAATGCAAACGTTATTATAACTTAACTTGTTGAGCACGGCCGGATTTGGGTTTTGCTGCCGTTCAGCAGATTGGTGGTTGCAATAACAGATATGTGTTACGTTTACACTTGTATTTTAAAAAAAAAGTTTTGACTTCACACCTGCAACCTTGAGCTGAGCGAGTTGCTCTCGCTTGGAGATTGGACAGAAACAGATTCCATACACCATTGGCCCTGAAAACACAGGAAACAGATAAATATATAAGCATAACAGTCTCTGGAGCGACCCGACAGGTGAAGAGACTGTTTTGCATCAACTGTAATAAGACACTGAGCCCACTCTGCAACTGGAAAGGGGACACAGAGCATTGCTAAGTGGTAGTTTCCATAGCAGTTGCACAGTTTACTACACTTAAATTGATGAGATCTGGAAAGCACTGCAGCTGGAATCAAATTGACTTTAAGACAAGCAAACAGCTCGACTCTCATTTGCCCCAACCCGTCGAGCTTCAGCCAAACCGAAGGTCAGGCTATCCGAGGGGCTATTAAAAAATAATAATTTGGTCACTCAACCCACGACTGTTTGTGGGGCGTCGCTGTGCGCAATTGGCTGTCTCGTTTCGCTCATAAAATGTACAGTCACTCCACTTTACAGTGCATCCTGTGAAGCGCTTTCAGACGTCCCAATGACGCGATAAGGCGCTGTATCGAATGCACGTGATTTAGGAATATGAGATCACTGTTTAATGGGCCGGGGTAGGAGTAGAGTTAATAACAACAATCCTTGCCTCATCGTGCCGTTCCCACTTACTACTGGGTAAACGGTGCCAGGATTACAGGTACTATTATTGTTGTTGTTTCCGCATCTAATTTTCAAGTCACGCGGCGGAACTTACTGCTGAAACAAGGAATACTTTTGTTTTATATAAGTGCTTAAAAACTGCTTCTCGCGCGCGCGGCTCGTGATTTTGCGGTTGGTTTAGAGGCCTCGTCAGGATTCTCGTTTGAAGGAAAGGCAAAACTATAAAGTGTCCACTGGAATCCAGAGTCAAACGCTCGTCTGAACCATCACAACCACAACAGCGCCTCCTCTGCAGCACTGCGAGTCCGAGAGTCCGGAATACTGACAAATCGCTGTCGGTGCTGTTTATTGTCCATTTGCTCTCTGATGGTATTTCTAACAACAACAACTTGGGGGCTTTTAAATAGAAAACTTTTAATAATTACACCGGGAGAGGGGGGGGGAGGGGGGCTGTGTGTGGGGGGGAGATGGTGGGGGAGGGGTGGGGGGAGGGGATGCAGATGGAGGGGGGGCTGTGTGGGGAGGGGGAGGGGATGGGGGGATGGAGATGGAGGGGGGCTGTGTGTGGGGGGAGGGATGGGGGGGGGGCTGTGGGGAGAGAAGGGAAACTGACTGGTGGGGGGGGGAGGGGGGGAGGTGTTAAGGAGTCCCAGTGAGAGAGAGAGAGATGTCAAGAGGCGGCCTGAAGGCCCGCGGGCCGCACCGCACCCCATCTCTCGACGCCTGGCCCGCGGGCCGCGCTCGCTCACCCAGCACCGGGCCCCGCCCCGCCTCGTCGATGCCGAGGCAGCAGTCCTCGGCGCGGCAGACCCCGGGCACCGCGGACTGTAGTCGGGCGCTGCCGCTGGCGAGGAGGGCGGCCTCCATGGCTCTGTCCCGCTTCCCGCCTCCGGCCTGACCTGCCGCGAGGCCTTCTGGGAGCTGTAGTCCCCCCGTCCGCTTAGCCCCGCCCCCACTTAGCCCCGCCCCTCGCTGAGCCACGCCCCCTAGCTCCCCCTTTACCTAGCTCCACCCCCTCACTTAGTCCCTCCCCTCACTTAGCCCCTCCCCCTCACTTTGCCCCTCTCCTCATCCAGTTCCTCCCCCTCGCTTAGCCCCTCCCCCTCACTTAGCTCCACCCCCTCACCTAACCCCGCCCCTCACTTAGCCCCTCCTCATTGTGTCCCTCCTCTCACGTAGTCCCCCCGCCCCCCCCCCCCCCCCCCCCCACGCGCCCCCCACACAATGCTGCCATTGTGTACCCGGCCCCCAAGTCGAAGCCGTCCTCAGCCCCTCGGCGGGTGGGGAGCTGCTGGAGACGGCGGACGGCACCTCTGGACACCATCTGTCGCGGTGCTCTTGTGGAGCTGAGATCTGGTGGTTGACGCGGCTCCTTATCCCGTCCGTCCTCGGGACGTCTCGAAGCGCTTGGGGGGGGATATGCTCTGGACTGTGTGTTTCGTGGGCAGCCGAGTGCACTCAGCAGCGTTCCGCAAACAGCCGCGGATTAAGTGACCGATTTCTTTTTATTTTTTGTTGGGATTGTTAGCCCCGGAAGAGCCAATCCACTAACAACCGGGTTCCTACTTACTGCTCAGTCAGTAAGCAGAGGCACGCACGCGGAGTAACGAAACTTGCCCAATGCTGTAAATAATACTCATCCTTGCGTTTGATATTGCGCTTACAGCAACAAAATATCTGGAAGGTAATTGCTGACAAGTGTAATGACTGTGTAATTTGTAGATACACAGCAGTATCTCACTGACAGCCACAAAATTGATGGCTATTTTTTATAATGTTCCTTGATTTTGAAACCCACCCGAACAGGAAGCAGGAACCACCTCCAACAATACAGCGTATTGTCCGCCTGGAGTGTCAGCCTGGACCGGGAGTTCAAGTCCTGTTGGGGCACTTGAATCAGAGGCAACGCAGTCACATAATGCAAATAAAGGTAATTACCCTTAAACCGCAGGAACTTCGATGCAAATATTAACACAGTGGAACAACAAGAACAAGGAAACGCGAATCATTGGAAGGTGAAGTTGGGATCAATTGTGTTATCGCTTTGATTTGCCAATTTCCTCCAGTGTGCAATGCTGACTCATGCTGATACTAATACTAGTAATCCTCGCATTTTATATACCTTATCACGACTTCGAGACGCACTACATGCGCTTCACAGGAAAGACTGAGAGTGGGACACCTGCACCGTCTCAACCCAGTGTTTGTTCTTAATTTGCAAACCCATAATACACGATCGCTACACGTCACAGTAAATCCTGTGAAGCGCTTTCTTTGGGCCTCTTTCCTCCTGTTTAGCCCAGGGATGTTCTGTACAATTGATGAATTCATGACCCTGCTACAGTAACTAGATGCTCAAACCCTTGCTCACCAACCAGCACAGAGGCTTCCACTACACCCTGAAAGTCTGGAACTCTCTCCCAATCCCTCCGCCTCGACCCTTCCTCCCTCCCTCCCTCCCTCCCCACTTTCAAATCCCGCCTAAACACCTTCCTTTGGTGCTTACGGTCACCTCCTCCCTCTCCCCCCCGGCTCGGAGTCAGACTCCACCACTGTCAGGCGCTCCCGGGTCGCAACCCGGAGGGGGCTGTGTAAATGCAAGTTGTTGTCGTCGTCGTCGTCGTCACGTGTGGGTTCAGTATCTGGCTGTTGGTCTCGACAGGGGGTGGATGGTTGTCAAAGGCACAACACCGAGCAAACCCTCAATCCGCGCTGCACTAAAGTGGAACATTACTCCCTGCCACGAACAGCTGTGATCCAAGACGTGAATGCCGAGCGATGGCCAGTCCTGTCTGAATCAGCTGTCTGCTGCTCTGGCCTCCTGTTCATCCCATGTCCCCTCCCTCCCCTCCAGCATCAGCCGCTACGCCACAAAGCATTGGAACTCTCTCCCCACAATATCCCTCCACTTCGCACCCCTCTTTCCGGAGAACGTTAGCCCAGACTGGGAGAAGTGGTGACCGTAAGCACGATCAAAAAGGAAGATCTTTAGGTGGGATTTGAAAGTGGGGAAGGAAGGGGCAAGGCCCTTGGAGGGATTGGGGGAGAGAGTTCTAGAGCTTCAGGGCGTGGCAGAAGCCTCTGTGCTGGTTTGCGAGCAAGGGTTTGAGCATCTAGTTAATCATGACTCGATCAATTGTACAGGAGGAAAGTCGGCCAACGTCAATGGTCCTTATTAACTGAGACGTCTCAAAGCGCTTCACAGGATATGCTGTAGAGTGCAGTGAGGGAGAGAGTGACAGAGTTCCGGGGCTTGGAGGCTGAAGATGGTGGAGCGGAGGGGACGAGGGACAATTAGGAGGCCGGAGGAGGCAGCGGGTGGGGGAATGAGGGAGGAGGAGGGTGGGGATGTGCGAGGGCATGAAGGTGCGTTGGGGTGGGGGGGGTCTGGCGTTTTGTCAGTTAAATAACGTTGGTTGCAGCTTTAAGTCGCTTAAATGTTTGGGAAGGCAGATAGTCACATACATCAATGCGTTCCTATCACAATGATACCAGGCCGCTATCGGTCTCACACAGCTTAATGTGCCTTTTGGCTACAGTTAACACCTGACTTAGCAACAAGTCTTAGCCATTCAGCGTTAAACACTTGTTCTGTTTGGTCAAGGATGTTCTTTTCCTTCCCTCTGCTGAAGGGGCTTCGCAACGGACGTGAACAACCACCACCACCACCACAACGAGTGTCATTTGCACAGCGCCTTTCACTTCGGGAGGACGTCCCAAGGCGCTGGACAGTCGGGGCTTTGGACCCGAGCTGGGCTGAACCAGAGCTCAAAGAACCGACACCGACCATGGCCCAGCGGCCACAGCAATAAACCTTACAAAAATCCTACTAAAATTCCTCGGGTTTGACACGAGGCCTTATCACGTCTTCGAGACCTCTCACAGCGCTCGGGCAGAGGGTACTGGAAAAGTGTAGCGACTGCGTATTTTGTGGGCGAAAGTACGAGCGGCTGATCCGTTGGGGGGGTGGAGGGGGGGGGGGTTCAATGTTACGAACGGGCAGGTCTCAATCCAGGGCTGAGATTCAGTCTGGGACATGTATGTCAAGCGTGGCCCAACTGAGAGAGTGAGCCACAGAGAGAGAGAGACACACACACTCACACACACAGAGGGGTTGGTACGTGAGCCATTTGTAAAGGCAGAGTCACCATGAGGTTGGCAATCTGGATGTCCTGTTGCTTTAAAACTGTGAATGTGCTGAATCATGCTGAAGACTTAACCTCGCGAGATGCATCCGTTAACACAGGGGGGAGACACACACACACACAGAGAGAGAGAGGGGAGAGAGAGAGAGAGAGAGAGCAGAGACGTCTCGTCAGTATCAGCAACGGGTGAGCACCACAGTAAGTACAAGCTTTGGAAGACGTGAAAAGCGCTATATCAAATGCAAGGATTATTATTATTATTATTATAAGCTCAGAGTCTGCCTCTATCTCACTCATAACCCCTTAATTTAAGCACAACCTCATTGTTTTCCCCCCTAATTCAAATACAACCATTTGCTTAACGTCCGATCTCTCTCTTTCTCTCTATTTTTTGGGGGGGTAACAAAAGCCAGTTTTCTGCATTGACTGCTGCTGCTGAAAGTGTTTTGATTTTGAAATAATAACTTGAGATAATGAAACTTTAGGTCTTTTTTTGGGGGGGGATTTGAGGAGTTCAGTTGGGGGGTGGAGGGGGGGGAGAGAGAGAGAGAGGGGGAGAGAGTGTATCTGGGCTTGAAATCGGGGAAAAAAAGCCATTTTTATTTAAAATAAACAAGAGGTGGCCTAAAGGCGACTGACTACATTGTATCCGCGTTTTGTGGATGGTTTAAAGTGTTGTTTAAATAATATCGAGGTTTGCACTTCCTGGAGAGTATCTTCTGAGCAAATCTCTTATTAAATCCCACATTTCCTGTTGAAGAACCTTATTCTGTCTCCTCTCTGTCCTCCCCCAAACCCCCTTCTCTGGCCCCTGATTTCTATCTCGAAACCCCCGCCCTCACCCCCAAAAAAAAGGTCTGCAGTGTGTAATCATGTTTTGTTTTTATTTGTGTGGCGACATTGTTCAGAACAACATTTGGGCGAATTTGGGTAAATATATAACGAGCCATTTGCTGAACAATACATTTGCGAAATGGCCACACACACCAAGAATAAAAGTGCCTGAATATCTCCCCCCCCACCCCTTGTTAATCTGATCTCTTGACTCTACTGACTTTCTCCCCCCCCGCATAAGTAAATTAAATCAATGTATTTTGAAAATACTGACTTTTTTCCCCCTAATAAGCAAATAAATAAATTATTTTACTGACTAAAATAAATCAAGATAATGGCTAAAATGTGGGGCTGGAAAACTCAGTCTTTTTTTTGGTGGGGGTGGGGGGATTTAAGTAGCTCAGTTGGGGAGTGTGGGTTTGAAATGGGGGGGGGGGAGTGATTTTTACCTTTTTTAAAAAAAACAGAGGTAGCCACAGACATGACTATTAAAAAAAATTATACTGTGGACTAACTTGCCTTGTGACTGGCAAATTGAGTCACGGTTCTGCTTGTGAACTCCGGATTTTCGTTAATGCACCAAAAAGAGGAATAGTTCCCTCGTAATACTATTAATGTTCATTGCATTCGATGTCACACCTTATCACGTCTTCAAGGCGTCTGTCTCAAAGCGCTTCGCAGAATATACTGTAAAGTGAGTTGCCTGTACATTTTGTGGGCGAAACACGGCAACCAGTTGCACACAGCAGCGACGCACAAACAGTTTATTATAACAATTATTGTTATTTTAATTTATTTTTTAAGGGAATTATTGCCTCCAGAAAAGCGATCCGCCCATCGACTAACAACCAGGTTCCTACTTACTTGCTCGGTAAACCAAGGCGTGTGCAAGTAAGGAAACTTGCCTAAGGTCTTACCCTGCCCCGGGGGAATCGAACCCAGATCCTCTCGCTTGCAAGGCAAGCGCTCTAACCAATAAGCTAAGGGACACGTTACAAGTTCTACCTTAGAAAGGAGATAGCGGAGGTAGCTTTCTGCTTCAGCGGCCTAAGGAGAAACTAGCTTCTATATCAAACCGATGTGTTGAAGCTTGCCTTTATGTTTCAATCTGGTGTAATTGAGTACTTATCCAGCTCCTCATGAGGAGTAAGTAATAATAATTCTTTCAAAAAAAAATCATTTGGTCACTCAATCCACGGCTGTTCGCGGGGACGCCGCTGTGCGCAGTTGGCCGCCGGGTTTCGCCCACAAAATACACAGTCCATTCATTTCACAGTATATTCTGTGAAGCGCTTTGAGACGTCTCGAAGGCGCGTTAAATGCAAGTATTTTATTTATTTATCCAATTGTATCTTGCAGCTCGGAGATTTGTGGCCTTGGCTGTGTGGCGCTGGGCCTTGGGAATGAAATTTGAGCGCTCCGAAAATGAATTAAGTCATTGTTTGGTGTAAGGAGACCAAGTTTAGTTGCACAGTAAATTTAAATGAAACCCAAGTCTTGAATGTTGTGTGGGGAGAAAAAGGCCGGTGGTGAACACAACACCAAGATGTTTCAAGTGAGATTTGACTTGGAGGTTGTTACACAAAGTGTATCTCTAACCCACGCACCCCGCGTTTCCCAGATAATCTGGTCTAGATAATCGGAGGAAGCTTAGCCTAGCAAGGCGTCTTTGCCTTTGCCTTTAAGTGCTCCCCAGCTATGTAGAAATGCAACGTTCAATAAAACGGTTGTACTTTGGACACTCTGACCCTGATCGCCGTGTAGTTCAATCAGACTTCAGAGGCTCTCTTTACAGCCAACTGACTTTGAGCAAAACCTGCAAACCAGTAACTTTTTTTTGTCTACTTTGCATTAATTAGGCAGTGGCTGCTTTAATAAGCCTATTTAATAAGCCTATATAATGTTTCTCAACTGAACACACAATCATGCACTGTGTGTAGTCGGCCTATCCCCTCACGTCACCCTGCTCCACCCTAACTTGTAATCTCTATCACCACGGAGCAAACTCTCTCGCTATCTGCTTGTAAACTGCTCGCTCCCTCTGCCCAAAATTGGCAGCTAAGCTTTCAAGCTGTTTTCCGTGAGCGATTGGCTGCTGCGTTTCGCCCGCAGAATATACAGTCGCTACACTTTGCAGTGTATTCCGTGAAGCGCTTTGAGACGTCTCGAAGACGTGATAAGGCCCTGTATCAAATGCGAGGATTATTATTATGCAATTGCAGCCTTGGTTAACCTTCTGAAAGATCCTTTCTCCCCAAACCACCCTCTTTCCCTCCCCTCTCGGGAGGATTGCTTTGAAACTTTCCCTCGTCATTTCTCGTCCCTCGCATTGCTTAGCAACCAACCACCAGACCCTGTTGTCTGTCCCCAAAGGGTTAATACTTGAGCAGCTGTTTGATGTGCTTCAGTGACGGGACTTGGACTGACATGAAAGGAAAATGCTGAAGCCATTTGCATGAACTCCATTTGATCTAAATGTCCTATAAACGGAAAGGCATCTGCAGAACGGTGCACTCACCTTCTAATTGTAATGCACAAAAAGCACGTGTTCTATTCAGCCTTCCTGCAAGGACTTGAGTTTCTCCTCTCCCCCTCTCTCATTTTTCCCCCAGCACCGTTTGCTAACACACTCTGATTAGCCCCATTTGACCCAACCATTCCCCCCCCCATCCCACTGCACCCACAAGTTTTTGGGTGATCTTTTTTGTTGTTACCATCGGCGGTCGGACCTTCAGCCTCTCTGCCCCCACCCTCTGGAACTCCATCCCACAGCCCCTCCATCTCGCTCCCTCCCTCGCCTCCTTCAAGACCTGTCTCGAGACCCTCCTCTTCGACCATGCCTTCGGTCACCTTCCTACCCTCCTCCCACCCCCACTCCGTCCTCCACCCTCTCCTGATCTCAACTACTCCCCCCGCAGCTCGGGTCCAAATCCTTGACTGTCCGTCCAGTGCCTTGGGACATCCTTGTGAAAGGCCTCAACTCCAGGACCACTGCTGTCGGATTTCAAGTCCTGGATGAGGGCAAATTTCCTACAGTTGAATGTGAACAAGAACCATGCCATCGGTCACCACCCTCCCCTCCCTTCTCCCTCCCTGACCCCAGCTCGGGTCTGAAGTACTGTACACTGTCCAGCGCCTTGGTACATCCTCCTGACGTGAAAGTCGCTATACAAATCTAATCTTGTTGCTGCTGTTGTTGCAAATGCAAGTTGTTTATGTTATCTTGTGACCAACTGGAAGTGTGGGTATGGGCAGGAAGGAATACAAAAGGCTGTTTCCTCAAACTACTTTGAACAGCTGCATTGCGAGACTTAAGCCAACTCTTCCTACCTGAGCTTCTCGTTTTCTTTCCCTGCAGTAACTCTCGAAAATGTCAGCAGGAAAAGCCCAAATTGGCCAACAAGCTCCTGACTTCACTGCCAAGGCTGTGATGCCCAATGGAGAGTTCCAGGACCTCAAACTGTCCAGCTACAAAGGTAAAGGAGCAGTCGGTGTGATTCGGGGAATAGGCTAATCTAGGCTGGGCTCAGTCTATCTCTTCACAGAATATACTGGAAAGCGAATTAACTGTATATTTTGTGGGTGAAACTCAGTAGCCAATCTCTCACAGCAGTGTCCCATCAACAGTTGTGGATTGAGTGACTAAATTATTATGATTATCTTTTTTTAAACCGTTTATTACCTCCCGGAAAACCGATCCACCAATCGACTAACAAGTGGGTTCCTACTTACTGCTTGGTTAACAGAGGCGCGCGTGTGTGTGTGTGTGTGTGTGTGTGTGTGGAGTAAGGAAACTTGCCCAACTCTGACCTGCCCGAGAATCGAACCCAGGTCCTCTCGCTTGCGAGGCGAGTGCTCTAACCACTGAGCTACAGGATTCCTCAACAGTTTTAGCTTCACCCAAACCCAATGCAGTAGTAATTGACTGTGCTTTCTGTCAACTGTCACCCTCCTACCCCTCCCCTCCCCGCCCTTCACCCCTCCTGATCCCAACCCCTAGTTCGGTTGCGGATCCCTGACTGTCCAGCGCTTTGGGAAGTCCTCCTGATGTGAAAGGTGCCGTGTAAATGTCCTTTGTTGTTGTTATTCACTCCCTAGGGAAGTATGTTGTCTTCTTCTTCTACCCTCTTGACTTCACCTTTGTCTGCCCAACCGAGATCATTGCATTCAGTGATCGCGCCGAAGATTTTAAAAAGATCAACTGTGAAGTGATTGGGGCATCCACGGACTCTCACTTCAGCCACTTGGCTTGGTAAGCACTAAACTCTTTCCCCCCCCCCATCACCCCAACCCTCGCCAGGCTCCACTGGCTCCTTATCCCTGAACGGATTGATTTTGAAAATCCTCACACTCTTCTTCAAATCCCCTCATGCCCTGACACCTCCCTACCCCTCCGACCTGCTTACTAATCACCACTAGTCGTCATCTCCGCTCGGTCGTCTCCGGCCTTCTGCTTGTCTCTTGTGCCCTCCATGCCATTAGCCCTCAAAGCTCTGAAATACTCTCCCTCAATCCCTCCATCTTGCCCCCTCCTTCCCGGTCTTTTTTGCCTTCATTCCAGCTGAATGAAGTTGCCATAACTCCCTACCAAACAGTCCGCCCAGCGGGCTCCAGCCTGCTTCACATGCCCCACCTCGCTAACCCCACCATTGGCGGTCGGCCCTTCAGCCTCTCTGCCCTCACTCTCTGGAACTCCATCCCACAGTCCTTCCGCCTCGCCCCCTCCCTTGCTTCCTTCAAGACCCGCCTTGTCTCAAGATCCTACACCTGCTCTCCACCCTTCCTGATCCCAAACACAAGCTCCCTGACTGTCCAGCGCCTTGGGACATCTTCCTGACGTAACCGTCGCTGTGTGAATGTCATTCGTTGTTGAATTACATCAATGCCTTGGTCGTCCCCGATGGATGAACGTTGACTTCGCTAAGAGATGTCACCTATCTGTCCCTTCTATTTATTAGGACCAATACTCCACGAAAACAGGGTGGTATTGGCCGAATGCAGATTCCGCTCGTTGCTGACCTGACTAAGTCCATCTCTGAGGACTATGGTGTTCTGAAGAAAGATGAAGGAATTGCCTACAGGTTAGATTGTTGAGTTTTTAACCATTAAAATTGCATGTATCATTGCGGGAACATCAACTAACCAGCCAGTGGCGTATTTCTGTATGGCACGAGAAAAATAATAATAATTTTTGCATTTGATACACCGCCTCAGCACGTCTTCGAGACGTCTCAAAGCCCTTGGCAGAATCTTCTGTAAAGTGAATTGACTGCGTATTTTACGGGCGAAAGGCAAGAGCCGATTGTGCACAGCAGCGTCCCGCCAACGAGCGTGTTCTATCTGGATATCCGATCACAATAACTTCTAGCTTTGGCTTGTATCTCGTTTAACCTTTCCCCTTTTCTGTTCAGGGGGCTGTTCATCATTGACGACAAGGGTATCTTGCGACAGATTACAATCAATGACCTCCCGGTTGGCCGTTGTGTGGAAGAAACCCTGAGACTGGTTCAAGCATTCCAATTCACTGACGCACATGGAGAAGGTAAGGTCGCTGTTTAGACGGGTGAGTTTTGAACGTGACTTAACCTGGATCACTTGGGGGGTGACCTATATCATTATAATAATCCTTATCAAAGCGCTTTAGAGGATACACTATAAAGTGAATTGACAGTATATTTTGTGGGCGAAACGCGGCAGCCAATTGCGCACAGCAGTGTCCCCACAAACAGTTATGGATTGAGTGACCAAATAATAATAATAANTTTTTTTGAAGGAATAATGACCCTTTTTTTGGAGGGATTATTACCTGAATGAGTATGGGTCTAGATGAATTTGATGCTGTCTATAAGTGGCCAACTGTATTGGTGTGAGATCCTTGCATAGTGAAGGGTTATATTAATAACATATCTAAACACTCATCTGTTTCTCTCCTAGTTTGCCCGGCTGGTTGGAAACCTGGGAAAGACACAATCAAGCCTAACGTGAAAGACAGTAAAGAATACTTTGCAAAGAGTTAGGGTGTTGCAAACTTGTATAAACTGAAGCTGATGAGCACTTGAACGTTGCATTTTGTTGTAGAGATACATAGATATTTTTAGGGACCATATAGAAATGTTACACTCTAGGAGTGGTGACTGTTCAGCATCAAACGCATCTGAATGTGCTCGAAACAATGCTGTCCTGTGGTCTCTTGTCGAAAGTTTTGTACGCTCTGTGTCAGACTGAATTAAATAAATGAGGAAACCTGACTATTGTCGGCGTCATATTTTCATCCCCTCCATTTTTAAAAGATTAAACATTATATGGTGACCCAAAAGTCGTGATATCTACCCTATTTTGGAGTGCTGAAGCTCAGTGGGTTAGAGCACTCTAACCTGGATTAGTTTCCCGGCCGGGCGAAACGTCAGGTAAGTTTTCCGTACTCCACACGCCTCTGGTTACCTAGCAGTAAGTAGGAATCCAGTTGTTAGTCGATTGGCGAATTACTTTTCCGGGGGTAATAGTTCCTTCACTCAGTCTCCACGACTGTTTGTGGGACACTTGCTGTGAGCAATTAATTGGCTTCTGTGTTTTGCCCAAAATACAGTCAATTCACTTTACAGTATCCTTTCAAGCGTTTGAGCGATCTCGAAGAGGTGATAAGGTGTTATATCAAATGCAAAGATTATTATTACTACTAATAGTTATTATTATTGTTACCCAAAAGCCTATTATCTTTAAAAAAATCACCCATTTCTTTTAAGACTTATTAGACATTGTAATGGTGTCGTGACTTTTTGGTCACCTTTCATATATGAATCTGACTTTATGAAATCTTTCCCGAACTCTTCCAAATATTAGTTCTAACTGCTCTTGAACCCACTGCACTGAATTCATTTGGCAAACAAATTTACTCAACAATTTGCCAAACATTTGGAAGCTCTGAAATGTTGAGAAAATAGAGTAAATAAAAAAAACGAAGTGGAATTTCTTCCCCCCCCCCGCCCTCCCCTCCACTAACACCTTCACCATAAATGTGTTGGAAGTAAAGGAAAGTATTAGGTTACACCTGTTGTCTAGATCAAATAACATGTCCACTGAGGTATAACACACACACACAGTCCAGAATACAGTATGAATATTCAAACTGGATCAGCTGCAATGTCCTGTTACCATAGTTCTAATCCATCATCTAACCATCTTCCAGTTAAATTCAGCTGCAGTTGCAATGTGTCTTGCATCCTGCAAGACCTCCTCACTGGCTGACTGTATTGCCATGTTGCCGTGCCTTATCTGTGTGCGCAGAGGAGTTTTTGCTGATCTTTTTGGTCAGCCGGGTGTCTGACACACATAGAAACCCGTCACCGTTGCTTAATAGACTCCAAACCAAGCTGAGAAGTCAATGCATCCCACCTCCACATGGAAATCCCAGAGATATGGGATGCACGCACTCTCTCTCTCTCTCTCTCTCTCTCTCTCTCGCTTTGGAGGGACATATCCTGCTTATCTAATTCCGGGCAGAATGGGGGACAGGTTGTCGAGAGCCAAGGCTCGGGCGGAGCCCAGAGTGTGCGTTGGGGTAACTGCTGTAATCAGCTAAAATTTCTGCCCACAAAACACTCCAGTCACTTGCACTCTACAGTATATTCTACAGCATTTGATACGGCGCCTTATCACATCTTCGAGACGTCTCAAAGCACTTAACAGAATAGACTGTAAAGTGAATTGACTGTACATTTTGTGGGTGAAACACGGCAGCCAATTGTGCACAGCAGCGTCCCACAAAGAAGTCGTGGATTGAAGTGACAAATTTTTTTTTTTTTTGAGGGATTATTATCAGGCGGGTGGAGTAAGGAAACTTGCCCAAGCTTTTGCCTGCTGCTGGGAATCGAATCCAGGTCTCTCGCTTGCGAGGCGAGTGTTGTAACCACTGAGCTACAGGACTCCTGTATGTGATATGAGATTATTCGTGTGTCTGCTGATCTCAAACGGATGGTATGGGAAGATTACGGCTGCGATTGTATTCAGAGAAATTTAGCAAGTGACTTTTTTTGCCTTGCTGGGAAATTGGGTGGGGGTGGGGGTGAGAGCTTACAAATGGGGTGTCCAAATTCCTCCCCTGACGTCTTTGTGGCTAAAACACACTGGAAGGTCACTGACTCAAAGGTCCTATGTGGTTAGTTGACTTGACCTAAGAGTTCACATGATATGTGCTACGTGACATGCAGTTGTGTATTATACAAACAATAATCATAGCTCCAGGAGGTGCTGTTGCACAAATTCACTGTTGTATTTGGAGACATGATATGGCCCTTTTTAACCACACGGGAGCGCTCTGACAACAAAGATCCACTTAATGTAGTATTTTGCTGGATATTGACCTGCAATTCTGTGTAAACCTGTATCAAAAACGGACAATGAAAGAGGCCCATCCAGCCGCTGCTGGTGTGAGCTACTCTATTAAAGCTAAATTCTCTGAATACCAGTTGGATCTTAAACATCCCAGGACGCTATCTGAAAAGAGAAGGGAGTTTCTCCTGATGTTGTGGCCAATAATAATCATAATAATAATTCTTGCAGCGCCTTATATCGTCGAGACGTCTCAAAGCGCTTCACAGGTAAAGTGGATCGACTGAATATTTTGTTGGCGAAATGCGGCAGCCAGCTCGCACACAGCGGCGTCCCACAAACAGCCATGGAGGGAGTGACCGATTTTATTTGGGGAATTGTTGGCCAGGGAACCGGGAGAGAAAAGCTCCCTTCTGTTTTCGAATAGCACCGTGGGATCTTTACCTTCGGGACCTCGGTTTATAATGTCTCATCCGAAGATAAAATTGGCCATTCCTTTCAGGGCTGATTGTGGGACATCACTGTGTGTAAATCAACTGCCTTGGAACTAGCACTTACCTGTGTTTTTGAGATATTTTGACATTAAAGGCCGTATGTTAACTGCACAGATTCTTATAAAAGCTTTGTGTAAAGCAGGCATGATTGGTATGAGCTCATTCTCATTGCTACTGGCTGGAGAGAGCGCAATGTTTATCTCTGTGACTTTCATTCATTCCTCGGCTCACCAAGGAATGTACACTGCTTAACATTTCCTGCAGCCAAATCTGCCTCAACTGACACACATACATCTGCACTAAACTCTATCTGCCATCTCTTTCTTGGCCCATCTCCGTAATTCTCTCAGCTCTTCCTGACTGCTAACATTGCACAATCGCCCACAAAATATACGGCCAATTCGCTTTATAGTATATTCTGCGAAAGCGCTTTGAGACGTCTCGAAGATGTGGAAAGGCGCTCGCCTCGCAATCGAGAGATCTGGGTCCGATTTCTGGCGGGGTGAAATGTTGGGCAAGTTTCCTTACTCCAGTTTACCCAGCAGTAAGGAGGATGTTAGTCGATTGGTGGATCGCTTTTCCGGGAGTAATAATTCTTTCCAAAAAAAATAAAATAAATTGGTTCACTCGTTCCCAATTGATGGTATAGCCATTAACACAAAAGTTTGCAACATTTTAACCTCGGATTGAAAGTAACTTTTTGCAGTTCCAACAGCTATTTAATTATTGTGTTTACAAAATATTTCTTCCGTTTGCTACAGTGTCACGCTGAGTGTTAGGGAGTTGCACTGGTTAGATTTATAGCGCTTTTCTGCCTTTATGTGCCACTCCCCAAGCATCAACCCTCTGACCGCACCCTGGTAGCCATTATACACAAGGGTGTTGGCACATGACTTAACTAGGACAACCAAATCCCATTCCAACCCCAGCCAACGCCAACGCCAACGCCCACTGCAGACACTTATCTTCCAGTGGTTCAGGCCCTCCCCTAGCCTGAGGACACCACAGCCATTGAAAGCTCCCTCGCCACTCCTCTGACAGAGAACACTGCCCAGTCCGGTGAAGCCCCAGTGACATAGCTGGGAAAGCATTAAAAGATCCCATAGCCCGGTACGGAGACGGAAGAGATTTTCCCCCACTGTCCGGGCCGACCCATTGGAACATGGGTCCTAAGGCCAAAACCAAGAGGCTTTGCAGGGTAAGAAAGGGTTCAATGACAGCAACAACAGCTTGCATTTACACCACGTGGCAGGAGTGCTTGACAGTGGTGGGGTCTGACGCCCAAGCCAGGTGGTGGGTGGGGGGAGGGAGCGGTGGTGGATAGGGCGGCGGGAGTTGAATAAATGCTACAGCCTTGAGTATATACATATATTTATACAGTCAGATGCGATTTACAGGCACATCACTGGGAGAATCTATCAGTTAAAGAGTGAGATTCATAGATCACCTCATCAACGTATACCAGAAATTTATGGTACATGAAATTTCAGATGATACAGCCATTTTGAAAGAGCGAGAAAAACCATCAATGAATGACCTTGTTAGCATTCAAAGGCTTTGATTATCCGAGCGGGTGGGGATGGGAGGGGGAGAGAGAGAGAGAGAGGGGGGGAGGGAGGGTTGGTGGGGAGGGGGTTTGGGAGCGGTTGGGATGGGGGTGGCAGTGGAACCAGGCAGAGAACGCCAGTACAAACGCCTCTTCCATCACTTTTGACGCAGGTACAGAGGCTGAGTACTGGCACAGAGTATTTCACCTTCATGTCAGACGCACTGGGGGGAAAATAGACATCGCTAACACGTCATTAGAAAGCCAACATCTGTAGGAGGAACAGGGCTGAAGGCGACTTGAATGTTAGCAGGGAGGAGGAGGAGGAGGAGGAGGAGGGGAGCTGGGTCATTTTGTGACGAATGCAACAGAGTCAAGGATCTTTAAGCACAAATCCCACTCCTCCCCACTGCTTGCCTTTGATGCTTGTTGTGAGGGATGCTACATTAAATGCAAGTTGCTGTTGTTGTTTTCTTCGTGTTGGGTTAGGGACACTAACCCAGGTTAGACGGACAAGGAAAGGGTGATGAATCTAGGGGTGTCCCACTCAACTCTTTTTTTTTATTTATTTCCTCCTGTAAGAAACGGAGGTAGTTGGAAAAATTACTGTGAACCACACACCTCAAAGCAATCTCTCTCTCTTTCTCACCACACACACACACACACACACACACAGACATACGCCGACCGCATTGATGCTGTTCGGTTTGAAATTGCAGTCAGATAAAAGGAACCTTGAGCTTTTTTTATATCAAAAAAAAGAGAGAGAAGTGTTTATTGGCATTTAGTATTTTCCTGCTAGTACCCTTTTTTAAAAATAAACTGCCCGAGTTCCTGTCTCTGTTGCGAGTTTCTCTGTGGCTAAGGCATATTATATCTG